ACCAACGGAGTGAAGCAGGGCTGTGTGCTGGCGCCTACCCTCTTCAGTCTCATGTTCTCTGCCATGCTGATGGACGCCTACCGCGACGAACGCCCTGGAATCCGCATCGCCTATAGAACGGACGGTCATCTCCTGAATCGCCCGCGCATGAACTTCCAATCGCGTGTATCCACAACCACCGTGCACGAACTCCTCTTCGCCGACGACTGCACCCTGAACACCACCTAAGAAGTGGAGATGCAACGGAGCATGGACCTGTTCTCCGCCGCCTGCGAGAACTTTGGGCTGGTTATCAACACGCAGAAGACGGTGGTGATGCACCAACCGCCGCCCAACTCAGCCACAGCCCCCAACGCGCCGCCGCAAATCAGCGTGAACGGAACCCAACTGCAAGTGGTGGAGAACTTCCCGTATCTGGGCAGTACCCTCTCCCGCAACACCAAGATTGATGAAGAAGTCGCCAACAGGATCTCGAAAGCCAGTCAAGCCTTCGGTCGTCTCCGTAGCACAGTTTGGAATCGCCACGGTCTCCAACTGAGCACGAAGCTGAAGATGTACAAGGCCGTCATCCTGCCGACGTTACTGTACGGAGCAGAGACCTGGACGGTGTACACGAGACAGGCACGCCGACTGAACCACTTCCACCTCAGTTGTCTCCGCCGCATCCTGAGACTGAACTGGCAGGATCGAATCCCCGAGACGGAAGTACTGGAACGAACGGGAATCCCCAGTATCTACGCTATACTGAAACAAATGCAGCTGCGCTGGAGCGGCCACCTGGTGCGCATGGACGACGAGCGACTACCCAAACGACTCTTCTACGGAGACGTCGCGACGGGTTCTCGTCGTCAAGGAGGCCAAATTCGCCGTTACAAGGATACTCTGAAGTTCTCCCTGAAGCGCCTGCAAATCAACCCGACCACCTGGGAAGAGCTCGCTCGCGATCGTCCGACATGGAGGAGAACAGTGAAGACGGGCGCTACTATCTATGAAGCCAACCGAATCGCTGCCGCCAAAGCGAAACGCGAAGCCCGCAAATCACAACTTCGCCCAGTCCGCAACGCCGCCGCACA